TGGGGTCTTTTTGGTCTTTATTTTTCTTTTTTAAAAAATATTTTTTTATTGATTTCAGAGAGGAAGGGAGAGGGAGAGAGAGATAGAAACATCAATGATGAGAGAGAATCACTGATCTGCTGCCTCCTGCACACCTCCTACTAGGGACCAAGCCCACAACCGGGCATGTGCCCTGACCAGGAATCGAACCGTGACCTCCTGGTTCCTAAGTCGACACTCAACCACTGAGCCACACCGGCCAGGCAGGTCTTTATTTTTCTTGAGGTGAGTATTGCCCCTGGGGTCAGAGCAGCCATACAACCGTGGTCCCCATGCCCATTACCTGAGCAACCTGGTCACCATTCTCTGAGGAGGGCAGCACAGCCTGTTCTCTGGTTAGTGGGGAGATACTCTGAAAGCAGCAGCCCCCAGTGGCCAATGCTAGCGCACAGCACCCAACTGCTGGTGCAAACGTCCTCACTCTGGGTGTGCAAATAGTACAAAGCTCATGTGAGCAAACATGTCAAAACCAAAAGAAGACCACCACTGTTTATTTGCTCACACAAATACGTGACCTGTGAAAGGTGGAGGGGAAACACGGCTCTCACATGCTTTACGATGTTGGCTGTGTCTACTCTGCAGAAAGGCAAAAAAAAAAAAAGATGCCTTGTCAACGATAAATTCAAACGTATTAAAACCGAGACGATCGCTTGCTTGCTGGTATATAGCAATGAGTTCTCTAGGTCCTTTAACAACCAAATATGTTACCGCCAGAACAAAGAGGGTCTTTACATTTTTAATGTCACAGTGTTGAATTTTCCCATTTGTTTGGGGGGAAAAATAACCTGCCCAACAGATACTAGGATTGAGTTTTGCCTTTTTTTTTTCATCTAAAAGTTCTAATTTGCAAAAGTTTTAAACCTAAAATTGGACCCAGACCAAGATATAATGTTTTAAAAATCTTTTTTTGTTCCGGCATTTCAATTCATGGAAAACCATATAAGCCACAGATACAGAACAAATGACAATTTGGGTTGAGACGTGTCTTTTTTTCTTTTTTTGGCAGAAGCAGATTTTCCACAAATCTAATGGCACTTATGCAGCCCCTGAGAATGCTGGGAGGGGCACGCTGTAATAGAACTTTCCAGTTGGGAAAGGGCTGCAATTCTACAGCAGCAGTTTGATAAATTGTAAGTCACCTAAAAAGAATTCAGAAGGATTAAACCTCCAAGGCTAAAGTAATTTGTTGTGAATTCTTTCTCTTTCTTTTTTATTGACTTGAGAGAGAAACACTGATTTGTTGTTCCACTTATTTAGGTATTAATCAGTTGATTCCTGTATGTCCTGATTGGGGATTCAATCTGCAAACCTGGCGTATCGGGATGACACTCCAACCAACTGAGCTACCCGGCCAGGGCTTCCTTGTTTTTTTCATTTTAATAAATATTTCTAATTGTGTGCACTCTCTAAAAGGTGACCCCCGAAATTAAATAATCTTGAAGCTCCCTCCAAAACATGTATACCTGACCCTGCTGCACAGTTTAGAAAACATTTAGTAGGCAGTTCCCTTTTTCTATCATTTAAAGAACATTTACAAGAAAGTAGGATCCCATTTTCTTTATAGGAAGAGGACTGGTTCTGAATTACCAGTATTTCTGGTCTCAGATAGAGAGCAAGCAAGTCAAAGTGCAAAAATACATTGCCTTCTGGCTCTGCTAAACATTGTCACTGTAGATGAAAACCCTCCAGCAGGAATCCCCTAGTTTCTAGTTTTCTCCCAACAGGTGATCACCCAGAGCAGGCCCAAATCCCACCGTGGGCCAGGCCTCCAGGGACCAGGATGGGACAGATCTGTTCTGCCTGAGGTTGACTGCTCCAAACCAAGGTCCCAGAATCTTCAAGTAAGTGTTCCAACCAAATGATGCCTTTGTGTACATGTAGACTGGGTTTCTGGAAATAACTATGAAATCTAACCATAGGCCATCACTGATGTCAAGAGAAAAAGCACAAAAAATATTGTTTAAGAATTTAACATCAGGACTCCATATTTACCTTACCAGCTAGACAAAGTGGGAACAGAAAACAAACAAACAAACAAACAAGTGTACGAAGCTGCCTCAGAGACCCAGTAACTCATAAGAGAAACAGTTCAGCCTAAAACAGCGAAAGCTCATCCCAAAGGCAGGGCCTCTGGGGGCCTGGGCAGCCCTTGGCCGTGTGTGTGTGTGTGTGTGTGTGTGTGTGTGTGTGTGTGTGTGTGTGTTCTTTCCAAGATGACAAGCCCTTTCAGGATCTTTTGAAGGACGAGGTATATGAATGTCCACTCTTCCAGCACGAGGCATTTACTATTTGCTCAGCAGCCCCAAGGCCAGGGTCAGACGCCTGAGTGGGCTTAGGGAGACAATGGAGTAAGCCGAGGGTGGGGACAGGTCGCTTTCTAGAACAATCAGTGCTGACCCACCTGGCTGAAAAGTGAATGAAATCATATCTGGACTAAAGGAAGACAGCCAGCAGACCTCCAGCAAACATGCCACAGATAGGAAGGATTATATGGGAATGCGGGCACCTGCCCGGTCCCCCTTCTCTTAGCAATCCCACACAACACGTCCGGTGAGAGCCTGACCCCGGCACGACCTCGGTGGCACATTTCAGTGATACTGCCTACTAAATGCCTTCTACTCTCCACCCTTCTTTCAGGGCCCAGCACCGGCTGTTTTCCTGTCTGGGTTTCCATCCGACCCTTTGCTCCGAGTACACAGTTCCAATAGGCGAGCCTGTGGACACGCCCCGCGTAGCAACAGCACAGCAGCTGAGAGCTGGAGCTTGGCAATCTGCCGACATGGGCTTGAATCCTGGGAATGGCATCAGCCCACCTCACAGGGGCGCTGTCACGTTTTAAGGCCATAATGCACAAAAGGCACAGTTCCAGGGACCATAATAAAAACTGGTGACGTGTTGGCTCTTATTCTCACTTTGGCAGCATCCCGTCTCCAAACATCTAAACACAACCTCGCCTCAGCGCCCAGATCTTACCCCACCCACTGGCCTCAAACGATTGCTCCGCCTGAACTCGGAGCAGCTCTCATCTCCTGCAGAATTCATGAGACCACCACCCCGTCTTAACCTTATTTTTATCTGCGGCATCTATCCTTCCACAGGCTAGTTTCCTGTCTCCCCGGATGGTGAGCACCATAGGTGATGGGCCATTTCTCAGCTGTTTTCATCTTCCCTGAAGCCCCCAGCACGCTGGCTCGGCCATGGAAGACTCCACATCTGCTGCTGGCAAATTTGGACAAAGTGTGATTTGGACAAAGTGTGAGACTTTGGAGTCTGGGTTGGGCCCTTCCGATTATTTTGGAGGAAATGGTTTGAAACTCTATACTAGGTTATGCAAGCCCTCCTGCTGGGAGACTTGTCTATATCCTAACTTTCTATTGTGCCATAGGAAGATCAGCACTGAAGGGCTTAAAGCAGTGGTTCTCAACCATCTGGCCCTTCAAACACAGTTCCTCATGTTGTGACCCAACCATAAAATTATTTTCGTTGCTACTTGTAATGTTGCTACTGTTATGAATCGTCATGTAAATATCTGATATGCAGGATGATCTTAGGCGACCCCTGTGAAAGGGTCGTTCGACCGCCAAAGGGGTCGCGACCCACAGGTTGAGAACCACTGGCTTAAAGCAAGTCTCTCAATATGCCACTTTGGTTGGAGGATTATTATGAGCGAAAGACAATCAAAACCCAGCAGATTCAGGAAAAACTCTTCACCTCACGCTCAATTGCCTAAATGTACATGGGAAAGAGGGCCAGTACCAGTAAGAGAGCTAGCTAGTACCAGAAACCCCATTTCACCTAAGCAATCTCTGTTTCCCAAGCATCCCCTCGGCCTTCCTCCCCTTTTTATCTCCAGACCCCACCCCTTTCCTAGCTCAAGAGATTATAAAGATTCAATCACCTGGCTGCCTTTTGTGTCTCCTATCTTTATACACCCCCGAGCCCCACACCCCCTGAATGTCCCTAATTAAATTTGTTTTTCCCCTGTTAATTTGTCACATCATACTGTCTGACCAGCCAAATAATCTGGAAGGAAAGCAGGACAAACTTCCCACTCTACAGCTCGAAGCAGCTTTATGGGGCCATCAAACAAAAACGGGTCCCACGCGTTGGAAGAATCTCATGTAACCCAGGCAATGGCCAGTCTCCTCTCACAGGACTTTCCCATTCACTTGTCTCGTTCACATTACACACAAGAGTCGGTTTACCGTGTGCCAAATCATCCACGTATATCCTCCGATAGTGGCTGTTAAGTTATTCCTTCACTGATGACGAAATAGAATGACGAAAAGAGAACTCAAGGACAGAGCCAGGTTCTTCAACACGTGGCCCTTCACATGTGGGCCTTCACGGGGGCTGGATTCTGACACGAAGGTGTGGTTCTCGCCACTCCTCATGGGCTGAAATCAAACCCCTGGTTCTGTGGTGGGAGGCTCGCTTTCCAGTAACCACCCCTCTAGGATCTCAAGGCTCAAGGGCTACGCACATACAACATCTCACAGTTTAGGCAAAGAGAGGCGCCCAGGGGGAACGCACACTACTGACACATCTGTGCACGTGTAGATACTGACTCTTAAAGCAACGGGACTCCAGCGTTTCCGAGGGTTCACATTAGACACTAGACAAGTAATTGGGACAAGGCAACAGTGGAAACACAAAACAAAAAACATTCCGCTCCAGGTAAGGACATCTAAGAAAGAGGAAACGTGACTTCACTTCCTGTACCCAAGAACTGGTATATAACGTCCTAACCTCAGTGTAGGGCCTACCCAAATGGCCAGATAAATATTTCCTTTTGTAACCAATTCACTGCTTGTCTGGTCAACACCACCCACCCCCAGGGAGGATAACGGTATATACACATCCTGCCCAGACCTGTGTTTACTCCTCTCCTGGGTTCATTGCAGGTGTCGTTTGCCCTCCAGCCCCTGTGGCTCTGCTCAGAGCCGGGAAGGGTGACTTACCCTCTGGGACAATGACTTCCTCCTCCTGGCCATTCAGGACGCCCTCCTGCGGGGTGAGCTCTTCTTGCTCAGCTAAGCCGTTGAGGGTGGACAGCTGCCCATTCTTCTGTAGGAGCTATGGGAAGACAAAACTTAATTTCAGTCTTCACGGCCAAGTTAGAAATCCTGTAACTTCAAGAAAAAGAAATCATTTCGAGGAGAAATACAGAGAAAGGAGGGTCGATGACAATGAAGATTTAAGCCTTTTTTATTCATCTGAATGATCCAGCTACTTTACAAAAGGTACAAGGAGCTATTGTTAAGCAGATAAGTATGCACACAATTCATTCATTCATTCACCTGAATACCATGCATGATTAACACACCCACCATTCCAGGCTTATTTGAGATATAACAAACAATAAATACGTCAGGTGTGGTCCCCACCATTTTGAGCTTATAAACTACCATGGAACGCAGATTTTTAAAAAAGTCTTTTACTTTAATGTTTCCTTGTGATTAGAAGTTATGCATATTTGACTAGAATATGCATAAGTGACAATGTGTCCTTCTCAAGATAGAGGGCAGACAGTTAAAAAAAATAATTACTAACTCGCAGCTATGGAAACTGTCATGAAGGAGGAACACATAGAACAAAGGACAGTAACTGAGGGCCCTAACCCAGGCTGGGGTGTCAGGACGGCTTCTCAGAGGAAGTAAAGGTAACACTGAGGTCTAAGTTCCCAGGCAAGGGGAGTTTGAGAAGGGGGTAGTGGATGCAGAGAAGGGGGGCAAGTTGAAAGACCCCGTGGTTCAAAGGCCAGTCTATCCAAAGTGAACAAAAAAGAGGTATGTAACACGTTTTTATGAGTTATTGTTTTTCCATAACAATATTACTAAAATGGTCATTTGCAATCTTCCCTATTGGATAGCTTGTGCAATTGAGGTCATCAGTTGCAAAAACAACAGACATACAGACATGCCCTCAGGCCATTTTTTAAATCCTGAGACTACAGGTAAAAAAATTTTAAGCCAAATAAAAATAGCACAATAAACCATAGCTGGTTTGGCTCAGTGGATAATCGTCCTGGCAGACTTAAGGGTTTCAGGTTTGATTCTGGTCAAGGGCACATGCCAGGGTTGCGGGCTCGATCCCCAGTAGGGGGCATGCAGGAGGCAGCAGATTAATGATTCTCTCTCATCATTGAAGTTTCTATCTCTCTCTCTCCCTCTCCCTTCCTCTCTGAAATCAATAAAAATATTTTTTAAAAATAAATAAATAACAAAAATAGCACAATAACCCATAGGAACCTAAAGATTTCAACAATGCTTTATAGCTCATGTACTTTTCTCATTTGTCTTAAAGCCAACTTAGCAGGTGCCATGGTTTCCATTTCACAGGTGAGGACAAGTGACTGCAGGTTGGCTGGACAAGCTCAGGAATGGAGGTGGCTGTGGCCTGAAGGCCAGGACTCACCACTGACCACTTCCAGGGTTTTCCTACAACACGATGAATTGTTGCAGGACCTGTTACTACACACAGTGATAAAACGCCTCAAAGAGTATTCCACAGTATCCAGCCCTGGACCCCAAAGAAACCTCAAAGCTTAACACTCCATTTGGCATCACTCCACGCTGCCGATAGGCCCAGGGAGCAGGCTGGCCAAATCAGTGACTCCCATCAGAGCCTTAAAGGAACAGCGGGTTCCAGACGGTCCACCTAGAAGGCTTGAACTGTGCTACATTCATTTCACCTGGCTGTTCTCTGCTCCCGGCAAAGCTGCCCTTCAATTGCATGAGCCGCCTCCTGACCTCGTACCACTGCACTTTAATGCGTGCACTGCCCATGGAATGGTTGGCTTCCACAGGCCCACGCTGAGTCCATTTATTAGTCAGAATACTCAGATTACATTTCCACTTAAGTTCTTCTCTTACCAAAATATGAAAGATGGGACTTTTAAATGAAACCCAATGACAAGAGCAAAGGAGGGGGAGGGAGGGCTCCACAAGGCCCATCAGCAAAAATGTCAGTGATTACGAGTATTTTCACTTAATCCCACTAGTTCTGTGCACAGGTTAGACTTACATTTGATTAATAACATGAAGAAGAGCCAAGGGAGGAAAGCAAGAAACATATTATCTTAGGCTACACGGTAACCCCATGAATCCCAGACCTAAAAAATGCTGACATATACACCACAATATGGCAAACTCAACAGGGAACATGAGAAAGCTGTTCTAACACATTAATTTCAATGCAGTAAATGTTAGTCAACTATGCGCCTGGTTTAGGAACCAGAACGCTGAAGTTTTATAGTGATTAGAGTTCTACAGAGTTTCTATAATTCTTAAAAGAGTTCTCATAATGCTTTGTGAGTTATCAAATCCAATTTGATAATTCACAAAGGAGTCAAATTGAGTATCTTTTAAAGTGAAGGATCTTATAGGACACAGGCACAAACTTTCATCCACGTTTAGAAATGTTATATGTATATTTAGGTGAATGAGTGAAAAAGGAGAAGGGATTAAGAATACAAATTGGTTGTAACAGAATGGTCATGGGGATGTAAAGTACAGCATAGGGAATATAGTCAGTAATCCTATATAATAAAAGGCTAATATGCAAATTGACCAAACGGCAGGAACGACCGGTCGCTATGACGCGCACTGACCACCAGGAGGCAGACACTCAATGCAGGAACTGCCCCCTGGTGGTCAGTGCACTCCCACAGGGGAAGCACCGCTCAGCCAGAAGCCGGGCTCACAGCTGGCAAGCGAAGTGGTGGTGGCGGGAGCTTCTCCCGCCTCTGAGGCAGTGCTAAGGAGCAGTGAGCCCAGCGGTAAGGAGCAGTGAGCAGGTGGGCAGTAAGGAGTGAGGGGTCCCGGACTGTGAGAGGGCGCAGGCCAGGCTGAGGGACACCCCTCCCCCCGAGTGCACGAATTTTGTGCACCAGGCCTCTAGTATTCTAATAACTAATTATGGTGCCAGGTGGGTGCGAGATTTATCAAGATGATTACTTAGTAAGTTACATAATGTCTAATCATGTGGGGAGGGGGTACACCTGAAATCAAAATAATAATGTATATCAATTATAATTGAAAATAAAAAATGATTAAAAAATGTTATATGTATATGATGTATATTAGACGATGTAAATAAAGTGAGTCTTAAAAACTGAGATCACCTGCCGGCCGACTTTGTATGTGAAATGTGTAGATAAATGTTAGATTAGTCATTCCCAGTGGCCGCAGGCAACTGTCTCTACTTCAGGAAGGCACCTGATGAGGTGACTTTGGTGACAGGCAATTTATGACGGTGACATTGTTAAAATTGAGTTTTAGCATATTCATAGCTTGGGTCCAGCAAGCGCACCCAAACTGTGACCCCTGGGTAATGTCTCAAGTGAGCAGTCAGAGTCCATGACACACTGACGCCCCACACAAAAATGGGACTTCGTTCCTCGCCACACTTGGGCATTTTCACCGCTCTGTGCTCCACTTGGAGATGCTTTTTACAAAACCTCCTGTGTTCTTGAGGATGGGTAATTAACTTTTCCTCGCCAGAAAAAAGGAGGGGGGGGGCATGTTTTCCTTTGCTCCCATCCTAAACCATCTAAATAACTCATACTGTTGCTAAGGGTTCAGGTGCCTCTAAGAGTTACCAGTACATTAAGGTCACCCCAAATCATAAGAAACTTAACCCACACTCCTTAACATGTAAGTCCTTTCTGTCTATATATGCCTATGGGCATTCATTTTTTTAAAAAGGGAGAATACATGCTTTTTATAACCTGATTGTTTCAGATATTATGGATATATTTCTTTATCAATAATCAATAAACATGTAACCACTCGTCCTCAGTCATTCTCTCAAAAGTTATGTCTTTTGAGATGGGAACCAGACTTGAAAGACAGGCTCCTTCCATTTAAACATAGTCAGCACCAGAGAACCTATTTTCCCACTGGCTTTGCGCTTCAAAAAGGGTAAACGCCTCCTTTGAGCAAATCAAAACCCTCAATGTTTTCAAGCTTATATCCTCTGAGAAGGTCAGCCAGAGTTCACTCCCGTAAAGTACTACCACATTACAACTAAACAAAACGGTGAAAAAAAGATCTCCAGTGCTTCCAGCAGCAGTGTTTTCCTCCCGTTCCTGTAAGAACAACGGACAATCTCCAACATGGCAGCCAAGGCATTGCAGAAAAATGACCAGATTTTGCTCCCCTTCCTTCTCCACTGGAGTCAGCCATGGGGGTCTCAAGCTCTTTAATGAATGGACAAAACAGATGCGCTCTTGACAGCTGTCAGGATGTTGGGGAAGAGGAGGTGGGCCTGCTAAGGTCACTATGTTCACCACCTAAGCGACACTCCTGGCGGTTCATTCTCACTGGATGACGCACTGGGTGGGAGGGGCCCAGGGCCCCACATTCCAGGTGGTAGATGGGGCTGCGAGCCTGCAGTTCACCCCGACTCCAGCGCAAACCCCACGAAGCAGAACTGTTAAGTGGGTGTAGGCAGGAAGGAACCAGAACCTCATGAATATAATAAGGAAACACACATAATTAGAATAAAAAAGATTACTTGGAAGGAATTTTAAAACCATGACAAAATTTGTAAAGAAAACTCTCCAATGTGTTTCCTTCTTTCTAATAGAAAAGTGTTTTTAAAGTAAAACTTTAAAAAAAGTCAAAGGGAAGAAAATCTAAATCAGAGTATAGGTCAGTAAATGTCTTTAGCGAATAAGTTAAATATGCATGCCCATTGGCTCTACCCAGTCTAACAGATATGGATCTGTATACACATGCAAGATGTGCAACACACAATAATTGATCATAGCAACAACCTTAAGCATCTATCAGTAGAGGAAAAAATGAAATTATGACATATCCATATCATAGAAAGCAATGAAAGGAATGACGTAAATCTAGATACAATGATGTGGGTAGATGTCCCCAATGAAAGTGAAAAAAAGCAAGTTGCTGAGACTGTTTGTTGCTTTATAATTTCTTTAAATTAAAACAAAAATAACTAACAGGAAGGGAGGTGGGGGAAAGTGCTTGCTCCTATGTTTGTAGAAGCATTTAAAAAAGTCAGGAATGAGCCCTGGCCAGTTTGGCTCAGTGGATAGAGCGTCGGCC